GTACATGCTCTTTCTATGACCAATAGCACCCCAGCTAGACTCTTAGGAGGAGACAGCGGCAAGGCCGCAAATGGTGGTAGTTCAAGTGGAAGTCAGTGCACAGTGGAGGAGACTCATGCCCGATCCTGATCCTGCTTCAGGTAAGACTCAGAAGTCATCTGAATACCACTCGCCAAAGGAACCCAGGAAGGGCCTATTAGTTTGAACCCCTCCTCAAGATTTTCAGGGGAAACCAAATGGCCAGAGAGGGAACACTGTTCTGGTTACTGGGCGAGTAGAGGAAGCCTGTGAGCCAGGGAAGTTATGTAAAAGCAAGGATGGAGACAAGAGCTGGGGGCTCTTTCTGAAGTTTAAGGAACCTGACTAAAGTTTTCCAAACATCATATAAGAGAGAAGCATCCATTTCTCAACCACAGTATCCAGGAATAGCAACTCACCAGGCAGTGAGCAAGCAGATCACCCTTCCCTGGCTTTCTTCTTTCTACTAGTTTGTTGCCTGTTTGATGTGTTATTGTTGTTTCTCAAGAAACACTCCTACCTAAAGTGCCTCAAATTCACAACAAAATATACCTGGAGTCTCAGAACCCAACACCAACAAGTGGATTTGCTGAAAGATGCGGGGTTGCAAGAGTAAATGCCGTTTTGTGTTTTGCCAGTAAGATCATGTACAATTTTCAGATTTCTTTTTTCTAGAGTTGTGGATTAGTCTTTATACCCTCCCAAGTAGCAGTTTACTTTGAGAAACTTTTAAAAATAAAGCCACATCACTTGTTTAAATATTATAACATGCCATTAAGTTTTTTCATTATGCCATGACCAAAAGCAATGCCCCTCCTTGAAACTGTCTTCTCTAGCAAGGAAAAAAAAAAAATCTCAGTCCAAAATAGAGACAGAGCACTTAAAGATGTAAGCACGGCACAGCATTGCTGTAAACCATAGCTACAGCCAAGTGCCAAGCGTGCATGTCACTTAAATACGTGCTGCGTTGAGCACTTAATGCTTTTTAATAGTTAATATATTATTTAGGCTAGATGGACGTTTTGTCTCCTATAAAGCATTTAAGCCTCTAGAAAATTATTCTACAAGATGAGACACAGAAATAGCCTATTTCTATATTTTGTTTTATTAAGCAAAGTAGAAAGTTAGGTTCTTACATAATGAGAAGAAAGAAAGTGGGAAACGTCACCATCTTCTTGAACTACAACACACATTTGAGGAAATGGAAGACCTGGGCCTTGATTTTTAGAATATTAATTTCATGTTGTTTTCTTACGAGAGATTAGAAGTTGTGTCGAGCATTTCACTATTTAAGCACAAAGCAAGAGCTTGGGTTGTTTTTGTTTGTCTTCTATTTTCTGAAAATTATATTAAACATTGTTTTTGGTTCTTTAAAAATCCCCATGAGGATCTGCTCCACTCTCATGCCCGCTATACACACACACACACACACACACACACACACACACACACACACACACTTCTGTATATTAGGAAAGAAAGACATCTGATTTTAGCAACCCTTTAAAGTCTGCTACCTCTGGGATGTGATTTTGATCAACCATAGGATTCTACTTCCATCAGACACAAGTATTCTTTCTATGTGAACACTGTTTCCGCTAGCTGTGAGGAGAAACCTGAGTGGCAACTGGACAGCAATGCTGGAAAAGTGGATTTCCGTGGAGTCCATCTGGGCTCATCAAATAACTATAAACATAACGCCCTTCCTCTAACTGATTATGAATTCTGTTCTGATAGTCATGTGTGAAAAGGGCAAAGGTCATGCGGAAACTGCTCTACTGCCCCCCACACTCCTGACAATGCTTCCTCGGACTGGATTGGATTAACTCTGTCAGAAAGTCCTCCTGTGCTCAACCAGCACTGCACATGGACACTTCCCCGAACCCAAGGTTTCACATCTCCAGCTTCCTGGGATGTCACGAATGTCTGTCACCAGAACAATCTATAACAACTACACTGCCAAGCTGAAATTCTACAACATGACAATCAATATGAGTACCGCCATAGCCCAAGTAGCTGACCTTACATCCCTCCTGGCCCTGATCTGATGACCTAAATATCAGTTTGGGATGCTTAATGGAGCTAACTTCTTAAAAATATTCCTGATGGCTGATGTCTTTGGCTGGAAAGTAACAAGACCCAGAGACCCTGCCAAGGGTCCACGGGGCACCAAAGCCGCACAGGACCCCAAATAGACTTGAGAAACCTCTTTTCCTCAGGCTGCATTCTTCCCTTCACAGCTGCACACTTTCTTCACCCCTTCCTCCCCCCTCCCTCCATCTCTTAGGGTGGCTTACTCAGCACCCTGTATCTTTAACTCTACACAGCATTTGTTACTCCCTGCTAGTAATAGGTTAAAAGCAATGTAGGAGAAAAACAAAACAAAACAAAAACTCCAACTATTTCACTCACTTCAGTCCAAACTTTCTCTTGTGGTTGCACACAACACTGGAAAACCAGAACCAGCACAAAGCACGATTTGGGAAACATTTGGAAAAATTTAGCCAAATGAGTAAAAGGTTTGGAATGTTTGATATTCTTCAGGCTACCCTGAGCTTACTGTTTTTGTTTCTTTGGGGGGAGAAAAATTTTCTTTTTCAAACTTGCCCGACCATTTCTTTAAGGAAAGTAGCAGGCAGCATTCTCTACCCAGTTGCCCAAGGAGTTAATACTCAGGGCACCAGGCAGGAGGGCTGGTCTATTTAAGCAGAGGCAGCCCAAACTAAGTGGGCACAAAGGCAAAAAGCAACGTGAGTCAACCTTGGAGGAGCAGGGCAGAGCGTGGAGCAATCGAAAAAGAAAATAAACGGAAAAAGAAACACCAGCCTTTAAAATGCAATCCTGAGAGGCTGTTGTCCAGTTCGGTTTTCAAATGGGCATTGTCTGAGGAGACGGAATAAATGGGAGATTACCATAGCGTGAGTTCCCAAACCCTGATCATGCCAGCAATCGTGGTGACAGCACATGCCACTCAGGGTGCCTAGCTCACTCTTGCATGTGTAGTTACCAAGAAGATGGTGGGAGCTGGTTAATGCAATACAAAATTGGACGATACATGTACTTGGGGTGACTGCCGTACAAACATTGTACCCCCCTTCTCAAACCAAGTCCAATCAAATCGACAAATTGGAGAATTGATTTCTCACCTAACCGTCTTTCATGTCTCCACTGAAGGATAAAAGTTCAACATTGGCACTGCCCTCTGCTCAGTTTTGTGGGCTTGCCTCTGGGTCTCTAAAGATCACTTAAGCACATGCTCACACAAAGCCCAAAGTCTTTAACCAATGCAAGTCCAATTATTATCAGTTACATTCTGGGCCTTTTTCAAGACTCAGACTTCCCGATGGCAGCTAAGGGGGTGGGGATGGGGTGGGGGTGGGGGTCAGTCTAAAAGTATAGATCCTATGCGTCTAGATCTTTCAGCCCATAGCATCTCAGTCATCTTCATATAAAAGAAAGACAGCCAGAGCAAAAAAAAAAAAAAAAAAAAACAGACTCAACAAACTCCGAGGGACTTCCCCACGCCCTTCCTTCATGCTGCACTAGGCCATGAAAAGTTTAAGTGGTCCCCACCCTGGAGTGTTTTCTGTAAGGAAGGGGGAAGTGGGGGCACCTAAATCTGTGAGATTCACACACAAAGAACAGCTTACTAGAAAAGCTCCTGAAATCGTATTCTTGTCCCTGAGAACGTCTGCTGGGACCTCCTTTCTAAAAATCCCTGCTCACCTGCAAAAGACTTTAACCATCTCACTAGCATTTCTGCTGCTAAATAACAAAAGAACACTCCATTGAAAGTACCCTGTCTTTAAAGAGAAAGCTACACTCCGGGCTTCCTCTCCCTTCTTCCTTTGCCTTGTTAACTCCATTCCTACTGTTAGTAATTTGAAAGAGGTCGGCGGCGGAGGGGATGGGGGCGAGGGAGAGGGAAGGGTCCACTTGCCAAGCCCCCGAGGAGCACCAGACACCACGCTGCCTTCCGAAGCTCGCTCGCGGGTCCAGCCATACCTTGGTTTGGAGGTACTGAGGACAGTAGTACGTGTACTGGGGGTACATTTGTGGCTGATCCAGGCGTTTGCCCATGTAGCTGGGATCTTTATCTCCGAGGCAGGAAACTGAATAACAGGGTATATGATGCCCCAGGCGAGCTTCTTCCTCTTAATCCACTGTTCCCGGCAGTCTGGGTGACTGATGAGGCTTCCAAGACTCCACCACTCACTAGTTCCAACACCGTAAGGAATTTAAAACAACCAAAAAAACCAAAGCAAAGCAAAACAAAAGAACCAAAAGAAAAGAGAAAAAGAAGAAAAAACGGATGGGGGTTGAGGTCCGTAGAGAAACCCCCAGACAGCTTCCCAGATCTTGCCTGCCTGCTTTCTTCCCGGCTGCCCGGTCCAGTCCGGATGAAGCAGTTTGCTCTCTAACCAGCTTGTCTCTAGTGGTGTCAATCGCAGGCGCTTGTAAAGACGAAGGAGGAGGGAAAAAAAAAAAAGAAGAAAAAATCCTTTAGCACAACTCGGAATCCTTGCAGTACAGCTTTCGGTCTCTCGTGTGTCTCTTTCCCACCTTGGAAAAAGAAATTTTAATAAAAGGAAAAAGAAACAATGGGCAAAAAGAAAAGAAAGGAAAGGAAAAAACTGGGGATAAAAAAAAGAAAAAGAAAAAGAAAAAAATAAAGAAAAGAAAAAGAAACCCGTGCAGGCTTAGTTGCTGCCGTCTGGTTCCCAGAGTGACATGGTGTGTTCGGGCTGGCCTTGCCCCTCATTCACTTCCCTCCTGCCAGCCAGTGGGTGGAACCGAGAGAGCCTCTCCAGGGAGCAGCGCACGCAGTCCAGAAGGCTGCAGTATTTCCTCCAAGAAAAAAAAAAA